CACAGTCTCCAAAATAGTATCACAGATCTAACTTGATTTCTAAGTGTTATTTTATATTGATAGTTCCTATCACATACATCCTCAGTGACATTCAACTCCAAAATACTCTTCTTACAGCACTCATATTAAAAGGCAAAAAAAAAAATCTCTAATTAGGTTGGGAACTTGTGAGTTAATTCTTAACACTATTGCTAGACTCTATTAAAACAGCATTTTAAAAAATTCCAGTGAGACAAAAATTCACTGCCATGCAATAAATCCCTGTTCCACCAGGAAAGGAGTGCCTCTTACGGGAGTTTAACGTGTCAGTTGTAAGGTTCAGGCACAACTATACAACCTATTGTCAGTGATCATCTATACTTCTGTCAAGAAAACAAAACCAATCATCATCAAGCTGCCAGCGTGATTTGAAAATCCACTGGTGAAGCTTATTGTAACTAGATTACAAATTTCTTCAATTCTTTCCTTTGTCAGATCCACAGGCCACATTAGTTGTTATTCCTTTTTTGTTCCTTTTCGATCCATTTATCAGAACAAAGCACTTAATTTTACTGATACTCATATTTTGACCCCTTTAACAATTTACACTCCCTTTCCTTTTAATCTCAGAATCATCATTAGCTCCCTTCTCATGAAGCGGGAATTGACTCAGGAAAGCTGAGGTAGGCAGACTGTTGTGATCAATTAAGTGTCATCACCAGGTACTTGGAAAGGTTTTATTTTGTTCCCGATGTCTTTCCAATTAATAAAAATATTGAAATCTTCTGTTTCAGAAATGAGGTAGCCTCCTATATTATTTTATATCTGTCAAGAAAATAGTACTATAGGGATTTTTTTTCCAGAAAGCAAGATTACCCCCATTTAGTATGGTAAATTGAACTTTGAATGTATAGGTAATTTGAACTTGGAATGTGTAGAGGTCAAGATGATTAAAGTTTACTGTTTAAAATTTGATAATTTTAAAAAGGCAAGCTAAGTAAACTACTATGTTCTAAGTTTTAAGGTTTTTCTGAGTGATTCAAAGATGTGACAAATTTTTTCGTGGGTCTTTATTGTCTCAGAAGGAGTCATCTTATAAAGTCCACATTTATACTGTTCAATAATTGTGGTTCTAACAGGTATACAAGTTTCACATTAGCTATGGGCATTTGGCTTTTCTTGAGAATTGTAACTATTACTCTATAGAATATTTATAACATGGAGCATTAGTCTCTGCCAATAAATAAAATGATAAACATGTCTGTGGCTATGAAATTATAGTGATCCCAGGAACTGTCTGTCCACCTTATTTGCTCCTGGAACCATTCTCAAACTCAGCTGTACACAGTCTTTTTATCTCCCTTAGAACAAACCATCAACAAAAATCTGAGTATAATATGAGCAAAATGAATTATTAAGTCAGTAAAGTAGGAAGTCTTATGTCTATAGTGTGTTCTTATTCTACGTTACCACATCACCATTATGAATGACAAACAGCTCTTTTGTTTTAATAATAAGACAAAAAGCTTGTCTTTTTAGTAGTTAATTGTTATGGATGATGCATTTTTCTGTTAGCCAAGACACTACTTGCCTTTCAAATTAAAAAAGAATATACAAGGGGCTGTCCAGTTAGCTCAGTTGGTTAGAGCATGGTGCTGGATAACACCAAGGTGCAGGGTTTGATCCCTGTACCAGCCAGCTGCAAAAAAAAAAAAATGGATGTAAAAAGAAAAAGTTTCATTTCCTCCTCTTTTTAAGACAACACATTGGAAAAGCAATGATCTTTAACCTAATACAATAATTGCTCCTTAATTTTACACCAGCAATAATGAAATTTTTAGTGTTAGAAACTTCCTGAAGAGTTTTAAATACTTGTTTAAATTTTTTACATATTTAAAAATCAGAGCTAATTAGCTTATGCATTCCCACTTGTATCTCTAAACTCTGGGAATTTACTCTATAACACCATTTACTATAAAACGTGATCCAATTTAAGGTAGGTTCCTAATGAGCAATCATTAGGAGCTGCATCCAAGGCCCACTGTATTCCAAGTAATCCTCTGTGATGTGCTCTCAGGACTAAGATTTAATGAAACCTTAATGGAATATGAAAAAGTAAAAAATTATGCTTTTTGAAAATATTTATGCTAAGAACTTGGCAGTCTTTCTCTCAAAGCATTTACCTTAAAAATTTAAGTAACTTTTAAATGTTAGCATGAAGATGCCAGTTATATGAAACTTATTACTTCCCTTAAATATTTCAATCAGGTAATTATAAAAAAAAATTTCAGTGTGGACTATTAGAACTGTAAGTTGAAGACTGGGAACAAGTCATTCTCCAGATTACACAAAATTGGCTGGGGATCCATTCTGTGAAACTGTGGGGACCAGTAAGAAGTGCAGTTAAGCAACCAGTGGAACTAAGAAAAGATGTTCACAGACTCTTCAGGAGGTTTTTGAAGGATGGAGGGAAGAAAAGGAATAATTAAAGAATGATGAGGATTAAAAATTATATGAAAACAGTAAGAAAAAGGTGCATATGAAAGGGTAGGAAAGTCCACCACCAGGGACTCCTCAGAACCACCCACACACAGTATAGGTTGCCTATCCCCAATCTTATACACATTTTCTATACAGTTTCTATTGACTTAAGATCAAAAGTCATCTGGATGTAGGACAGTTTACAATAACATTGGTATAAATTAAAATATTCTTAAATACAGTTAGGATAATTAGAATTATCAGAAGTAAACATGTTTATTTTATAACTAAGTGTACATTTACTTTTAAAGTATGGGAAGTTGGAGCTAATAGCATTAAAATTTTCTCCATACTTGGGCAACACCCATGGGATCACTTGCAAACATGCATAAACAGATAATACATGGATCATAAAATGTAAATGAAGTCCTGGGTATGGTACAATAGTATCTGATCCAGAGTTTCTATAAGGAGGAATGATTGCTCTCTTTCTTACGTTATTGTTGGTCTCAAATGCCAGAACCTCTCAAATTTGAGAATTTGCTGACTTCTATCAGAACTGGGATGATGAAATAAAAAGCAGAGCTCTGACTCTATTTTTTTCCTTTCACAGAGTGTCTGGATTGAACAAAAAAATTTAAGCTTATCAGGTCACTTTATTGCAGCAGCAACATTCTGTTCAGAAATTATAGAAGATTTACTTTGATTAAAGTAATATTTCTTCATCTAAAACACAAATCTTTATGAATATTAGTATTTTTCATTTTCTTGGTTTGTATAATTTAGACTTTCAGAACTTTTCCTAAAAAACAACATATTAATAAATATGTATTGTAGGAATTAGTATCTTGTTTTTATACTTTTTTCTTTTTAGCTTAATGTTGTTACAGCAGAGTATTCTCCTTAAGAGTTTATTGCAGTGGAGCTTTTTCAGTGTTATAGATCCAGTTTGACATTTTCCATTAAACTGAAAATTACATAAGTTTAATATTATACACAAACATGATAATCTGAGATCTAAGTTTTATTATAAATACCAGAGGTCTTCAAAAAGTTCATGGACGGATTAGTATTATCTTTTAATTCCATTTTTCCATGAATATTTTGAAATACCCTCATACTTTGGGTTTCAAATTATTACCTTTTTTTCCCTCTCTAAAATCAGCCAAATTTTGAAAAGAAAAACATTTTGGAGGTCTTTACAGAGTAAAATTTCCATTTTAGAATTAATCTTTTCATAAAATTGGGGGGAGGGCATCTTTAGAAGTCTGTGCTAAAACTGTAAAAAAACATTAACATAATGGCAGGTTTGATGATTGGTCTTAGTTTTATGTTTTTGTTGAACTTCTCAAAAGCACTGATAATGAGGAAGTAATATTTTATATAACTAGGCATGAATAAATGAAGAACTTGATAACATACTATATTAGCTTGTCTAAATCATTTTCTAAAAGTTTGAAATAAGAATATGAAAAGGCAATATGGTCAAATTGTAGATGTGTTTTTTTTCTGCAGCAAAACTTTCTACAAACAGGTTACTTAAGTCCCCCGAATATGAAATACAGAACTATTAGAAGTACTAAGTAGTAACTATGCATGGCATAGTAAATTGCTAAGTGTCTTCACAATCAAAATTATTTAAAATTCTACTAAAAATAAATTGCACATTTAGCACTGACACTTCAAACTTTCAAGATGGCAGATGAGGAAGCTGATACCAAAAGGGAAGGTCACAGATTTTCCAGCTGTTCATTTAACAGCCTTTCCCCCAGGCCCCTGCTGGCCCCACCCAAATCAATCACAAATCCATATGCTCTCCAGATATCTCTATCCTCGCTAGAGACAAGGAATGAAAAGACGTTGCCTGTTAGAAAGTATAGAAGATGAAGAGAAAAATAGTGAAATAATAGAATTAAGTTTTTCTCCTCACATGCAATTTAGAAACAATGGATCCTGGAAGTGCTTTACAAAAAGATACCATTCTTTTCAGGTGAACAAGCTATATTCGAGGAAGATCTAATATACATCTATAGTTAGTATTTAAATATACTTTGCATATTATTAACTTTTAAAGGTCTACCATACTAGAGTATAATTTCAGTGATATATATATTTTAGTAAATGAGTATGGGTCTTGGCATGACTTTGGTTATAATTTTAAGTCCTCAAAACTAATAGTTTTCTTATGATAATATGTATATAAGTAGAAAAAAGTAATGGGAATGTTAATGGGGAACACCCTAGGATAAATACATATAAATACAAATTCTTGCCAGAAACTTTTAGAAACGTAGGAGTTGGTTCTCTTTATGCGTGCCTTTAATCTAAGACTATTAATTTCATAAACCATTTTAAGTATTTGATGGCAGGCAAGCAACTTTAATATAGATTTGAGGTTTGGGTAGATCCGGTATTATCTAGAATCCAGGCTTAAATTTTGTGAAAAGTATCCAAGAAGCAGAAGAAATTAAAATAGAGGTTCCAGAAATAGGGACACCATGTTAGAAAACAAACAAAGTATTTCCAGTCCTAACCAAACTGCAACCCTTTCAATATAGCTTGAGGTATTTTAAAATATTTTACAAGCTAAATAGCTTTCACAGTTTCCAAAGTTGCTTTTAACTGAGATAGCTTCAAATTGTCATGTGTTTTCATGTACTAGCATCTCTGCCCTCAGACTCATGGAAATATCAGGCAGCTATTCAGTGGCAGAAAATAGTTCTTATAGTAATAATGTTACTATTTCCCAATTATTGTGCTGTAACTAGGATGTGATTTTAAAAATGAGAAATTTGCAATTCATATCAAAGGAAAACTTGCTTAAAATTCAAAAGCAAGTCCAGTCTGGTGGAGGTATATAAGACATTAAATAATAGAGTCAGATTCTTTCTTGCAGATTCCAGATGAGCTTGACAGCAGAGAGTTCTGGTTCTCCAACATCTTCTCCATCTTTCCTCCTCCAGTGGTCTTATTGATCTCTCTTTGCTTCTTACTGTGGATCCATGGGATAAAACAAAGCACAACACCTCCAATGAGGGGAGGAATTCCAGCGAGATAGAATGCCACATCATAAGCACCCAACTTGTCACGAAGCAACCCTGAGAAAAGAAAAAGTTGTCACCAAGAGAGAACAAGCATGGCTGTTAGGGGTCTGAGATCAGTCACTCTGATGGCCTAGTCCCAGCCTAATAACTTTACCTCAGCAGGATGGGTTCAGACATCTCAGAGATCAGACAATTTTTTAGGAAATGGATCTGAAATATAAAGCTTTTGTGATATGAGGAAGGAAAAGATCTAATATCTTTAATCTTGTCACAAGGCCTCTGGGTTTTTATACCAAGATATTACTTAAAAAGAATATTTGCAGTCAAGCTTTGGCTTTCTCAAAACCCTTCAGAGGGCATTTGGGGTATTCTGATACGTGGCATAAGTGTCCTTGATTCAGCCAAAGGCAACAAACCATCTAGGTGAAACTTCTTTCAAACACGCATGCCAAAATGTCTGCATTTCAAACTGGTCTTGGACCTATTTGTTTTTTATGGAATAACATTAAACTATTTTACATTGTAATCCCAAATCACGAAAAATAATAAGTCTAAGAGGATAAAGTTAGTTTGTAAATATGTTTGAGAAAGTACTAGAGTTGTCAGTACATGGGAATGTAAGAATGTATGCGTGGCACTCTAGTAGAGCCTTGTGCTCTGTTCCCAAAAACTGTTAAGTACTTCTTATTACTATTTCTCTAACAAAATCCAGGACTCGGGGTTTTAAAAGTTATCATAGTGTTTTTATAACTTTTACTGTGTAACCTCAGTTATCCGAAATGTCCAGAGAACATATTGTACTGAATATCTACCTGACTTTGTTAAATAAATAGCTGAGCATTTGTCCAGTTAGGTGCCAACACAATAATGTGTACTCAGTTATCCGAAATGTCCAGAGAACATATTGTACTGAATATCTACTTGACTTTGTTAAATAAATAGCTGAGCATTTGTCCAGTTAGGTGCCAACACAATAATGTGTACACTCATTCTGGATATAAACATAAAATATACAACTTTCCCATCTTCTGCATCAGACTATTCCATGTATAACTGAACCTTTCATCCTTATGAACACTCATTATTATGTTTTGCTATATATTATGATGCCCTCAGAACCTACTGGTAAGACAGAGGCTTTCTACTGCCAGTTGCTGTGTGGTTATTCTGCCAACTTTGGAAGTTTCGTGTTAACCTCTCTTATTCTTGGCCTGTTAGCAGTCAGTTCTGGCAACAAACACCATTCCTACTAAAGAGCTGCTTAGAATCTGCTCTGGACTGGAAAACACTAACACTAAGCTTGTAGGGTATAAAAAGTAGAGTGGGGGGAGACAGGAAGGAGTGGAGGGTTCTCCTACAAGGAGACCTTTAGAACTGTGACCTGCTCAGTAGTAACTCTGCTTGATTGATTCATGACTGGGAATTTAGTTCTGAATATGAGAATGAAGTGAACTGAACTTTCACTGAGCCCCTCATGTGCCAGACACAGATGACAGCACACACATTGAAATTTTATCATAATTATATTGACTCTTCTAATACTAATTCACACTGGCACCCACGTAATACTGAACACGAGACACCTATACACCATTGTTCAGATTTCTAAAAGTGGAATTCATGTAACAGAAAATTAACCATTTTAGAGTGAACAATTCAGTGGCATTTGAGTACGTTCAGAATGTTGTGCAACCACTCCCTCTATCTAGTTCCAAAATATTTTCATCATGCTGAAAGGAAACTTGATCACCATTAAATAGTTAGTCCCCAATTCTCCTTCCCTCCAGCTTTTGGCAACCACCAATCTGTCTTCGGTCTCTATGGATTTAGCTATTCTGGACCTTTCACATTTGGCTTCTTTCACTTAGCATAATGTTCTTGAGGTTCATGCATCTGGTAGCAGGCATCGATGCAGTACATTCCTTTTTATGGCTGAATACTATTCCATTGTATGGTTATACCATATTTTGTTTATCCATTCATCCATTAATGGAAACTTGGGTTGTTTTCACTAAATGTTATTGTTCATCAACTATTCCCCAGGGAAGTGTGATCTCATACACAAAGCAAACATATTTAGAAATCTTTCAGAATCTTCATCTTTTTTTTAAAATCATGTTCCCATTCCTCTAAAGCACATACGAAGTGGAATATAGGAATTTTGAAAGCTTAGAGCCCGGGAGCTTACCATTACATGTTTTATTGTGTTTTAGATGCCAGTAAGGATAAAAGGAACTCTCCAGCAAACTCTGTCAACATACCATTTACAGCTAGTCTTACTAAAAATGTTATCGATAAGGCACACATGAAAGCAAAAGACCAGTAATTAGTAAGTTATAATATGTTTTACATGTAAGCAAGACTTAGGACCTGAAGTCTAAGCTATGAATTAATACAATTACTAGAGAATCATTATATTTACCTGCAATGGGGGGGCCCACAGTCATGGGTATAGACATGATTCCGAGCAGAAATCCAATTGCTTGAGAGACATCCTGGGCACCAACTAACTCAAAGGCAATGGGGGCCATGATAGAAATGAAGCATCCATCAAAAAGACCCATGATGAGACAGACAGCAATGAGGGCCCCAAAGATGCTACACAGGGGAACCATCATGGACATCAGACCAATGAAGAAAAAGGAGAGTACCTAGGGCAGACAAGGCAATGTCAACTCTGCTCTCAGGAAAGGAGAATGTTACAATTACCAAGCAACATACTTAGGACTTCTAAGTGATTGCTGGTTATCCCCTTTGTCCCCTGCCACTGCCTAGTTCACCTTGATTTTATATACATAGTCAACTCCGATCATCATCTCTCCTTACTTCCCCGAGCACTTTCTCAATATTTCCATTAAGGGACAAGAAGAAAGTAACTATTTTTATATACTTACTTTCCTTTCCCAGCCAGCAAATCTCTGAGGTCAGAATCTGTAAAAATTCATCTTGAGGTTTAAGGATCCTGTGCCTGGTCAGTGCCCAATCAATTCAATTCATTCATCAAACTTGATATTTTTTTAATCTTTAAAACTATGAACACTTTAATTAGAAAATATTATTTTTATATTTAAGCACCTCAAAGTTAAAGTTCAGAACATTTATTTTGAACCACTAGACATTTACATTTTAGTGTTTAAGTAGTTAATAGATAATAGAATCAAACACCTGATTTTGCCTGCCATTTGGTAGGCACTGTGCTTATGTGCTAGAGACTTCAACAATGAGTAAGACCTGATTCCTACCCTTGGGTTATGGAGAGGTGGACATTTAAATAAATAAGTGCAAATGAAGAGTTCTAGATGGTGCTGTAGTTGCATATTCAAAGTATGATAAGTACAAAAAAGGAGGAAACAGATAATTAAATAACTTTTTTAGGCACAGAGCTAATTAAAACTGTAAAATTCACTAGTCATCAGAAGAAATGTTTTAAAAAGCATCAGGTTTTTTTTAAAGCACACAAATAATAGCAACTATCATTTATTTAGTGTTACTAAGTGCCACGCAATCTCATTGGTAATCCTCATAAAAACTTTATGAGTTGGGGACTAATGTTATCCTCTTTTTACAGATGAAGACAGTAATGCTGGGAGAGGGTAAGTAAAGTGCCCAAAGCACACAAGATGGAGCCAGCCTGGAACTCATGGTCTATGTTGGCAGCAGCAGGAAATGGATAGAACCAGTCCTGGAGGGGGCCCTCCAAGGACAGTGGGGCTGGAGAGAAAGGGAGAGACCAGATAAAGCAGCCATCTGGATCACCATCTGCCTCTGTTCCACTTTACCTAGGACTCTCTAGCACACCTAGGTAATACCAAGTTTCATAGTATGCCTCAGGGCAGCCACTCACAACCTGAAGAGGCCTGAAGGTGCAGAGTGTGAGTTCCAGTTGCGATTCAGGAATGGCGGTTTTGACAAACTTTAACACAAGTGATCCACTGATTCCACAATAAGAAACATGCTCTTGAAAAATGTTTCACACTCCAACTTAGTTCTCTTTTTGACACCATCGTACCATATAGCTGAATAAATTTTTTTCTTCATTTTTTTAAAGATGACCGGTAAGGGGATCTTAACCCTTGACTTGGTGTTGTCAGCACCACGCTCACCCAGTGAGCTAAGCGGCCATCCCTGTATGGGATCCAAACCTTTGGCCTTGGTGTTATCAGCACCACACTCTCCCGAGTGAGCCATGGGCTGGTCCCTACATCTCTCTTTTAAAAATACAAAAAAGATACAAAAGTAAAAGATAGCAAACCAAATGTAATCTTTCCTGACCCCATATTCTCCTAGTTATAGTTTTCTGCTGCTCTTCTCAATAAAATTTCTCAAATAACTGTCTCCACTTTTTTCCACCCTCTACTTAGTTCACTTAGTTCAACTATTCTAATCTGTCCCTTCTACTTCATTGACCTGCCTTCTGCAAGGTCAATATTGGTCCCTATGATGTCAACCCAACGATCACTTCTTTGTCTTCATATTCTTTGCTCTCTCAGTGACATAAATTATGGTTTTATGGTAAAATTATGATTAGTTTTGGAATCTGAGTTGGCTATTTGAAAACTAAGCCTAGCACTTAAACACTAGCATTTATAAGTAACAAATATCTCCCCATTCTCCCAATATTTATTTTCTAATTAAATTTCCTTTTCTCCAACCCACCGTCCATGAAAGCACAAGCATAATTTCCTAGCAGTGGGTAATTATTGGGCTTTCAGCCTGGTAGACAGGAAAGAACAAGGGCTCTGAGGGAAAAAATCAGGTTCTAGTTCTCTGTGACCTTGAGCAAGTAAAAAGACTTCCTGATGCTTCACATCTATTAAGACAAAAAGTGATCTAAAAATAAGTCAAAATATAGCAAATGGTTTGAAATTAGCATGTAGAAAAGATTTAAGGAGGTATTTTTATTGAAAAACTAACTAGACAAACCCTATCATTTTAAGTTATAGATATATTTATATTCTACCTACAAACATGAAAGGAGATAATGGAAAGTCATTTAAATCTTAGAAACATATCTAGAATCAGAAACTCAAAAAAAATCACAAACCCCAGAGAATCTAGAATAAAAGTACAGGACAGGTTTCCATTCAAGATGGCGGAATAGGCAGTGCCCAGGGTCACTCCCACAAATCAACCAATTTAAAACTATAAAAAAGCAATGACAGCTAAGCTGGGGCTGCTAGAGCTTGGGGGAAGAGGAGGAAAGACCTACGGAGTGCATGTAGGTGGGAGAAGCTATGATGAGAGAAAGAAAAAAAACACTCCGACTGTTTCGAGCCCTGGCTACTTCCAGGCTGCAGCTGCTGAGCCCACAGAGCAGGAGCTGGCAAGAGCCGCAGCTGTGCCCTTCGGATGAAGTTGCTTGGAGGTGGCAGGGGAAAAGAGGGCCTTGGTGGCCCCCAGGTCAGAAATACCACTAATAGTTTTCCCATAGACCCACACAGGACTGAGGAGCCACAATAACTGGAAAAAAGAGCCATTCAGAGGCTGGTGGGTCATCGCATGGGACTGGAGCACGGCCTGTCCCATGAGAAGTGTTTGGAGCACGGGTGGTGCGGGAGACGGGCCCACTAGGGGAACACTGGGGCACAGCAAGAACACTGATCTGCCCCCTAATCAGTCTAGGACCACTCAGAGGAGACTGGTCAGGAATATAGAATTGCATGGGCTGCAGTTTGATGAAAAGACTCAGGCCCAGATCAGTGTTTCTACACAACCCAGGTGCATCGGATTTCACTAGAACTGGAAGCACCTATAAAGTCAACCATTAAAACCTGAGCTGCACAAAAAGCCTTCCCTAGGGAATCAGCAGCACAGGAGCAATTTAGCCCAACCACAGAGTTCAAGTGCTGGTCCACCCAGGAGGTTCCCCCATTTTAGAAGTAAGCAAAGGACAAGAAGTTAGTTCCAACACAGTTAGTTCACAGCACTTTAAGTGGTGGGAACAGCAAATAATCCAACGCAGAACTGAAAGAAAAAACAAAGTACCTACAACCAGAGACAAAAATTGATATTAACTAGTAAAGGACTCATTTCACCAAAGAACACCTATAACACCTAGAAGGACTAGAAGTCCCATGGGCTACGGAGCCAGAAAGGGGGGAGAGCCGGAGGCCTCAGCCATTCCCACCGACACCTGCAACCAGTCCTGAGGGTGTGGGCCGAGGGCGTCAGCCACACCCCCCTGACAAGCACAACCACCCCAGCGACGACCACTGAACCACCACAGGAAGCACCCCAGGCTCTCCCAAGCTGGGATAGTGGGAGGCCTTGGGCCTTGGTCATGCCCCCCCAACACGAGCACCCAGCCCAGCGATGACCACCAAGCCACAGCAAGAAGGGCCCTGGGTTCCTGAGCTGGGGAGGTGGGGGACGAGGGCTTTTGCCACATTCCCATGACACCTGTAACCGGCCCGGCAATGACCAAGCCACAGCTGGAAGTCCCCCGGTTTCCCCTGTGGGAATGTGGGGGGGTGCCACAGGCCTCAATCCCACCTGTCCTCCTCCTTCCATCCCATTTCCTTCCCCTTTCCCCTCTCCTCCTCCCTCCCATCTGCTCCACAACAACAAAATAGAATGTAAAAAAAAAATTCATAAAATAAAAGTATAGGACACTATGGGGCCAGATTCAGTGGATTTAATTTTTAAAACAGCAGACCAAATATTCCCAACCACGCCACTGTAATTATACTAGATTGGTGTTCCATTAGAAATATACTAGATATATTTTCCATTTTAGTGTGCTTCATATTCTTTTCCTATTTTGTTCAGTACAAATTTCTTTCCAGATAAGAAAACAGCTCTGTGGTATTTTATACTTAGTGAATGTTGAAACCCTAGTACAGTACTTGGCACAAAGTGAATTTTGCTTAATTGCTTAGAACAATTTTTGTAACACGAGACCCAGGCACTTTACTTTTGGTAATATTCTTGATTTCTCTATCCATTTTTGCCCCTCCAAATATTTCTTCTTTGGTCAGTTTTGTAAAAAGTCATTCACTTAAGAGTTTCAAATTTATTACTATATATCTTGAGCATATTATTTCTTAATAGTTGTGAGTGTGACTGCAAGTTCTCCTCTTCTCAATTCAAACTATGTTAATTTATATTCTCTTTTTCAATTATTTGACAAGGATTTATTTAGTTGTTATTTAAAAGTAAAATTTTTTGGTTTTCTTTAAGAATTGAGTTTATAGAAATTTACATATTTATTCTTTAAATATTGCTCAGAAAAATAACTCACTTCTTCTACCTTATTTGTAGCTATAGTAGTAATGCTCTTTCTCAGCAAATGTTACTACCCAAAATGTTGCTCAGTTAGGAGGTAAGTAGGCCAAGCTGGTGAAAACGTTCCTAATTCCTTATATACAGGGATACCTGAGTCACCAACAACATATGCCAAGGTTTGGCAAACTGTTCACACAGGAGGTTCAGTATTTCCCCATCACTTCCCAAAATAAATATTGATTCATACATCAAATATTGATCTGTAAATGCTGGGACACAGCTTGAAATGAATAAATTTAGTACTATGTACAATCTTTTATTTCCCTCAAACACAGCAGCTCTGGATAGATTTAAATAAGGGATTCAGAGGCCCCTAATTCTCTTCTAGGTTTTGACACAAATTTAATAAGAAAGTGACAATTTAGATTTCTATATTGCTTTTGTTTTCTTAAAACCATCGAAGGAAATATCTTCTGTAATAATATCACAGGCTGTAGAAGAAGGAAACCCCACCCCCCACTTATGTACCTAAGAACAAAAAATTTTGTTGGCTATTACCTTTCCCATTTCTCACAATGAGAGCATTCTTGGAGGAATGTCAGTTTAAGGTTTGCTCAGGAAACTAAGTATAGTTCAAGAGGAAAAATGAGCTGCACCCGAATAAGCAGAAAGTATTTTTGGAGACACATAATTGGCCACAGTTAAGTTTATCAGTATAAAGTTTCCAGACTTTGGGTGCCTCTGGCTAGGCACTCAGGGCAGAAAGCAGTCGGCAGCAGAGTTCTGTCAGTCCATCTCAAACTAAAGGGCCAGCTGTGCTCAGGGCACATAGCTGGGTGCTGGCTTCCTTGAAGCACACAGAGGCTACCGTACTTTCAAAGTGCCTCACAGGTAATCTGTTCACCTCTCTCCATGGCACATGAGTGCTATCATTTCAGCCTGACGGAGGAACTGGCTATATTTTCTTTTGTAAATTACTGGAAATACTAAAGTATTAAAATGTGCCCCCAAAATGTTGCAAATGACCTATCTGCCCCATCTGTAGGGGAAAAAACTTTCAAAAATTGTTTTGGAGTAAAACATTGATGTATAAAATATACCATGACTTTATCCATCTTAGTCCAGGCCCCCATCATCTAAGACCTAGACCACTGGATTGATCTAACTGGTCTTCCTCCGGTCTTTCACTCTTGCTGTCTTCCCTGGAAGCCATCCTCAACACACAGAGCGACCACGGTGACTTTAAAATATATAATCAGACCAACACTCTCCAACAAAGGGCTACTAAAAGTGAGATCTCTTCATCTCAGCTTTCAAGGCCCTGTATAATCTGTGCACCCCCACCCCGACCCCAGCTTTCCAACCTCTTCCTGTGCCACTCTCCCTGTCTTCTTGGGTTCCCAGACACACCCATATTCTTCCTGCCGCAGTCTTACTTCAGGAACTCAAGAACCTGTCTAGTTTGTATCATCCTGCCGGGGTCTGGGCTGGTGTTTGGGCACAAGGAGGCACTTAGAATGTTTTGAAATGAAAGGAAGCTGAAAGTCTATAATGCAACAAACGTCCATTAGAGGGCTCCCTTGACACTTGAGACCAAGAATAAATGTTCAACTAAATATTAGACAAGGATATCCACAGTCAGGACTGATAAAGAGGGGAATGACCATAATACAATAAATGCATCTTAAAAGGCAGTACACTACCAGCTGTCTACACTTCCTTCTAGCTGTGTGACCAGACTCCTTCCTATGACTGTCTGCCTGGACCTATATACACACAGACAGCAACAGTGAGGTAGCCTCTCTGTTCCTCAGTGTTCACATCTATAGGTATAGGTGGAAATAGCAATAGTACCTAAAAGGGCTGGGGCAAGGATTAATGAGATAATACATGAACAGCACTTGGTGCATTGTCTGACACATGAAAGTGCTCAATAAAAAGTAGTAATTACTTCTATGTACTTCTTTTTCTTTTCAAAATATTTTAATAGCCCCCACCCACAAACAGGCAAGCAATGGAGCACACTGCCACCAGGGGTCCTGAGATGGGGCCCATGGGCCACCCTGTCCCTACCCGCAACCAGGCAATCAATGGAGTACACCAAACCCATAGTGGTTAAGAAAGCTCTTGAGGAGGTAGACCAACGCAGCAAAATACTTACCACCAAGCTCCACTCCCTGGAAAAAAAATCTCAAAGCAATTAATTTGACACACAACAGAGAATGTATGCCAAATCCCCTCAGAGAGGAAAAGGCATAATATGTCAGTCCTGAAAAATGATCAAATCTAAGAAAAATGTCTGTCTCGTCTTTCTGTTACTTTCTCTTTCTCAGCAATCAATAGCAGTATCTCCCCCCTCATCTGGAAGAATGTGCCATACAAATATGATGAATCATTTGATTACCCTTTAGAAATATGTTGTCAATTCCTAGTATTCAATAAACCTTATTCCTTAAAAAAAATAAATAACATTAATTTGTACATATTTGTGGGGTACAGTATGTTTTTTCAGTACATGTATATACTGCACAATGATTCACTTAGGGTAGACAGCATAGTTTTGTACCTATTACTCCTGTATTTTTTTTTTTTTTTTTTTGATGTGGCTACTACCCATTTTATTTTGTATTTATTTATTTATTTATTTTTGGCAGCTGGCTGGTACAGGGATTGAATCCTAGACCTTGGTGTTACAGCACCACATTCTAACCAACTGAGCTAACTGGCCAGCCCTGTTACTACTTCTAGTAAATAAATGGAAGTTACTTTGTCTGAAATAAATGCCTTTCCAATCATTTTCCTGTGCCCAAATTTCACCTCTTCTTAAAGGCCCTGCTCAAATTCTGCCTCTCATCTATAAATAGACAGGTTTAATCTCCAAATTCTAAGTCCCCCTTTTGTCTCTCCTTTACCTTCTTTCCACGGCCAAGCTTTTGGACAAAGTTGTCTATATTTCCATTTATTCAACTGATCATGATCAGTCTTCTGCACCTGCACTCCACTGAAACTACTCTAAGGTCACTAATGTCCTCTCTGGTGCTAAATCCAGTGAAAACCTTTTAGTCTCCCTCTAACTAGCTACTGACACTGGTGACCACTCCTGCCCCTAGAAACACTCTATTCCCTGCTTTTCTGCTACCAATCTGGCCATACCTTTCAGTCTCCCTTGCAGGGCCCTAATCCTCCACTCATCCCAGACAGTCCATGAGTGCTAAAGTTTCACGGGTCTCTTATCCAGACTCTCCCATGAGCTCCAAATTCAGTGTGGCTTTCCCATAAGCACCAAAACCTTAACATGGCAAAAATGAACTCATTATCCTACTAGAATTTACTGAATTATTGATCTTGATAAAATAGTAAAACCATCTACTCTGTTACTCAAGCCACAGATCTCAGACCCAGCTTAAGTGGCTCCATTGAATTCTCCTTCTCTGTATCCCTAGGTTACTCTGTTTACCCAGTATCCTGGTTCTTCCTGCCTAGATTACTTCAATAGTCTCCAACTAGTCCCTGTGCCTCCATTCTTTTTTTTAAGTAATAACTTTATTGAGATATAATTCATATACCATAAAGTTCACCCATTTAAACAGTACAATTCAGTGGTTTTTAGTATATTCACAACATTGTACAATCATCATTACTATCTAATTTTAGAACATTTTCTTAGCGCACAGCCTTGTAACTCCAAGGTCAAGGGTTCAGATCCCCATATAGGTCAACTGCCAAAAAAAGAATATTTTCATCATCCCAAAAAGAAACCCTGTACCCATTCCCTCTCCATTCCCTCCTTCCCCTAACCTCTGACAACCACTAATCTATATTCTGTCTCTATGGATCTACCTATTCCAGACATTTCACATAAATGGAATAATTCATGTGGCCTTTTGTGACTATGTGAACTCTTGACCCCTCCACTCCCTTCCACCCTTCACAGTTACCAGATTGATCTTTATAAAACACAATTCATGTCACTCCCTTGCTTAAAATCCTTTAATGGCTCCTAGTAAATTTCAGGATAAATTTCATCATCTTTTATGCACATAAAGGCCCTTCCCAACCTGTCTCCTTCCTATCCCCCCAGGGAATCCACCTACTGTTCTCCCCTTATCTCATTCAAACATTCGGTTTCCCAGACGTAACATACCATGTCACACCACTGCATCTTTGCCCATGTGGTTTTCCTTTGCTTGAACACTCTTCCCTGTCTTCCTCATCTACATAACTAGTCCTCACCTCCAACACTGCTCAGAACCTCACTAGTCACTCCGATACTCAGTGCCTATGTTCCCACGGCACCCACCTAGCATACCCATTACTCCACTGTGCTGTTTTAACCTCACCTCCAACACTGCTCAGAACCTCACTAGTCACTCCGATGCTCAGTGCCTATGTTCCCACGGCACCCACCTAGCATACCCATTACTCCACTGTGCTGTTTTATCCGTCTCCCCATGAGACCATTAGCTACTAACTGAGGGCACAGACCATATTTCATTTAACTCTGCAGCGTTTAGCACAGTGTCTGGCATGAGAGAGTCACTTAAATCTCTATTGACTGAGTGTCAATAATGATCTTGGAGTTAGCATTTGTTTATGTACACCCCACAGCACCTAGGAGGCAGTTTTCATTAAAGAAGCTCAGTCATACACACACCCAAATTTCACAAGATATTGCAAAAGGCATAGGATCTGCACGACTTTGAGACCTATGCCAAAAATAAAACATTCTTCTTAGAAAAAGCAATGGGCAAAAAACAGTTTGGTTTGGTGGAATTCCATGACAAAATAAAGAAGATTGTTGTTTGACAACCAATTTCTCATGTTTAAAACCTAAACTCATAACAGATTTTGTCCTTGAAAAACTGCCTGAGGAAGTCACGTTCTAGAAAATATTTCTCATTTTTATAGAAGCATTTAAGCATGTAAGTAAATGTAATGAGCCACCAGGTGAAAAGGATAATTTTGCTGGGAAAAAAGGTGTAAGAAAGTACCTGTAGATAAACCTTCTTCGCACCAGGCACATAATCTGCAATCCGGCCAAAGAGCAATCGTCCAACTCCTGAAGTGATGCCAATGCACATGAGAACCACCTCTTTATTTTTTTCATCTTGAAATCTTTCATTCACATGTTTCATCTGTAGACCAAAGAGAAAGAAACCACACTAAATATGGTAGGAAAACTTGACAAAGTTTGAGGCTTTACATCAAATGCATTTCTCTACAATGTTATGGATTCTCATCCCCTTCCAAATTCAAGTATTTATAAAATTTAATTTAGCTTGCATAAAAGAAATGAGTTCTTATAAGTGTTTTTTTTTTCAATAAAGAGTTACCAGCACACACTTTACATGCTAACATGGAGCCATTAGCTAAAGGAAGAGAACACTTTTGAACACACCACATAATCTTGTTCTCTCAAGATCACCCAAGGACCCAGCACATTATCTGTTCCCTGAAAGACAAGTAAAGAGTCAATTCTGGAGTTTCATTTCTTCTACTAGGACCTGAACCAACTGATACCCCTGAAATAAGTTATACCAGAGCTTCCAGGGTGAAAGCATGAAGTTCTCTACCTGTGAAGTTACCCATTTGTGTAGCATTAGAACAAATAAAAGTGCAGAGGCAGTTTGACACAGTGGTTAAAAGATAAGCCTCCGAAGAGTTAGACTGCTTGGGTTCAAGTCATGGTTGCATCCCTTATCAGCCATAAGACTTTGGGTAAGTTCTTAACCTCTGGGGTCTCAGTTTTCTTGTCTATAAAATGGAAATTGCAGTAGTACCTTCTCCAGAGGGTGGTTGTGAGGATTAAGTAAAATACCTGTGGTAAACAGCTTAGAATAGTGCTTGGCACACAGTACATAATGATCAGATACTCATTTTAGCCCTTTTTTTTTTAAAGGATCTTTCCCCTCCATTTATAGTCTACTAAGAACAGTGACTACAGTGACCTGCAGGCCATAGATAGCCAGTAAGCATATTTTGTTTGACCTTTCTTTTCCATAACACCCCTGACAAGCACTGTCCTCTACACCCAACAATGGCCTGAGTTCTGGAAGTCTGCAAGCAAATTTCCTACCAAGTTCAATGGCCCATATGGTTCTCATGGGCAGTTAGTAGCCTTTCTGGATGACATCTCCTTAAGACACTTCCATTTCCATTTTGAAAGCCCATTTGTATATCCCAACACCATTTCATTCCTCTCTTCACTTTCAAAACTGGTCACTGTTCTCCCTAACTTCTATATTTTCATACTGGTTCAGAATAATCCTCCTAAATATGGCTTTAATCTCATCAATGACTTATTCAAAGGTTGCCCACTGCCTACATTTTATACTCCTTAGTTTGGTATTCAAAGCCCTCTATAATCTGTCACTAATCTATCTTTGTACCTTTATTACCTACTGATCCTTGGCTCCAAAGCAGAAAAATCAAATGTCTACCGGGCCAAGGCAAATAACATAAAGGAGTAAAACATTCGTTGGAGAGAAAGGGCATACAATTAAGTTGATTATCACCATATGATACTACCAATGTTGCCACAACTACCTCTTGGCTCCCTTTTCTTTTAAAGAAAAGTAATAAATCTGGATTTTGTGTGAAAATATTGGCCCCCAACTTAAATTTAGTATACTGTGTGTCCAATGCTACAAAAGCCAAACAAAATATGTCTGTAAAATACATTAGGCCAGCTCTGGTCTCGGCCCTAATTCCATCTGGCCCAGTAGGTCAGATTTATTCACAATGTCACTTAAACTTGCTGATAACTTTCTTACTGAACAACAATTTTGCGCCCTCTTCTACCCTCTTTGACTTTCTAACTTACCCTTATTGCCTAAACTTTTCATTTGGCACCTTAATTACTGAGTATCCCTACTTGGCCTTGTTAGCTTCTCTCTATATATATTCTCTCAAGTAAACTCTTCCAGGTCAGACTAGACATATCCATCTGCCTGTTCCAAAGGCACGTCAGAGTCAACATGGCCCAGCTAAACTCATGTCCCTCTCTCAACTTGCCCTCCCCCCATTTCAGTTAACACTACTGCTATTGGCCCAACTACCTATGGTAGAAACCTGATGACCATCCGAGATTACCCCCATCTCTGTCTCCAAATCCAGTAGTCACTACCAAATCCTGATGATTTTACCTCCTAAATATCTCAGAAATGCTTCCTTTGGTCCATGTTCCCCATATTTTAATTCGAGTCTTTACCAATTAAAGGACCACTCACCTGGACCACTACATCATCCTTCTAACATGCTTCTTGCTTTAGCCCCTATTCCTACATCTATCTCTCACCTCTAACCTGTATTTCCTGAGGCCACCCAATTAAGTTCAAAATAAAAAATGTCACCTCTCTGTTTAAGATCCTTCTATGGCTCCCACAGCCTTTAGGGCAAAGCTCAAACTCCTGGTTTGACAAAGACTTCTGCTTTGCTCCCACAGCCTCACATCCAGCTGCCTCCTTAAGCACACCAGGCTAACACTGCATGGGCAGTTGAGCACAGAAATATGGCTAGTTCAAATTGAGATCTACTGTTAAGTGTAAAAAAACAGGATTTAGAAGTCCTAATAAAAAAAAGGAAAGGCATGCATAATATCTCATTAGTAATTTTTAAATATTGATTCCATGTTGAAATAATATTTTGGCTATATTGGTTAAATAAAGTGTATTACAAAACTAATTTTATTAGTTTCCTTTTTTTTTTAAATGTGGCTACTAGAAAATTTAAAATTACATATTTGGCTTACATTATGTTTCTTTAAGAAATCAACTTGTGGTTGCAAAGATCTAAGACAGCTGTTGATGAAGATGACTTCAAAGTAGCTTATTCCACCAGGCACTTACCACTCTCCATCAAGTGAGATTAGACAGTGTTGAATGAGATGGATTCAGCCCAATTCTGGAGGAAAATGAATGACTTGATCTAAGGCAGGTGGGATGTAATTATGTGTACTCATTGGCTTTATGTGGAATTTTAATCCAGACTCTAATGTATTAATCCACTTCAGGAATCACCAAAAGGATCTATTCTGACTTCTAAAGAGACATTCTTTAGTATTCATAAAAGATTGAATTTACAAGTCATTCTTTTTATGAAACTAAGAACTCCTGTCTGCCAAATTGCTATTATTCTTTTTTTTTTTTTTTTTTTTTTTTTTTTTTTTTTTT